GGCTCCCAAATGACGTCGCGAGTGCGCGAGTGGCATACTCAACCGAGCGAGGAAGGATGTGGGTAGCCACAAAGTTCATCGCTGTCTCCATACCCTGCAATAAAGTCGTCATTAAAACATCCAACCTCAACCAACCGCATCTTCTAGTACCTGATCGAGATAAATCGCTGCAATTAGTGATTCCACGGCGCCTGCAGCAATGGTAGTTCGTCCTTTGACAACAAGCGGTGCACCACTAGCCTCACTGAATCCCGGCGGCCAAAACAGTAGATCTGTAATGCTCAAATCCGCACTGATCTTCGAAAATGTGTCGTTATTCACCAGCGCCGACTTAGCACGTGATAGCTGGCCTTCTTGGTGTCGTGGCAGCATCTGATACACGTATCCCGCCGCTGCAGCACCCGGCAGCGAGTCTCATAGAAATTCCAGACTGCGGTTCGACAGTCACACCACCGGCACGTCTTCTGGTACCGGGTTGAGAGGCAAGCATCCATGATGAGTCAGCGCAATCTTCAGTAGTGTCACATCCTGGAATTTGACGCCAATGCGCTCCTATAGCTTCTCGAGTCCAGCTTTCCAGCCTTTCGGGGTTGGACCTCTTTCGAAGTGTTCCGGTTTAATCAACTGCCAGTCCGGGGTGTTCTTTGGGTACATCAACTGCTGCACTGTGACGTTCTGGTTGGTGATAACGTCTCCTTCCAAGTGGCGGCGCTCTAGCTTTGGTGGTTGGTTGGGATCAGCTGGCGTTTGGCTTTGCGCCGATTAGCATCGCTTCTAGCATCGTTCTCGGCCGCTAGAGCGGCTGCAACAGCGTCGGCAACTGCCTGTGGGCTTCGGAATCCATCTGGAAGAGAACTACGAGAAGAAAACGCTCTTACATTGCGACGAGCGGCCAGAACACGATGGCAGCCAATGGTCAACACCTTGCGCTTGCTTGCCATACTTGAGGCTGATGTTTCATGTGGTAGACGTAAGGACCTGGATAACTACATATTTCCTCTAAAATTCGATATTTGAATTGCGAAAACATTTCGATTCGAAATTATAGTTGATACTGATTCGAAGTCGTTAATGCAACTTCATGAAACGCATGTTGCGCAACTTTGGGGAAAATAAATTCCCGTAAAATACCAGCGAACTGCGGGCTAATCGTAACAGGTCATTGAACCGGACCGCAGATCTCTCAATTCAGAATTTGCGATCTTCCCCCAACGCTACGTCCCGCGCATGTCGTCCCAGAAGAAGAAGCGTAAGGAGTCGCCGCTAGAAGAGGCTGACAGCGACCTGGACCTCTTTGACGAAGACAGCGACGTCGAGCCTACCCAGGTTGCACTCTCCACACAGGCGACAGGTGTGCATTTGATTGGTTTATTTCTTATATGTATCTGGTGTTAATAGTATTTTTTTTTTGTTTTGCTTACTTAACCCTTTCGCGAGACACTTTAGTAAACTATAGTATACAAATCTAGGATAGTCGGTATCAAAAGGAGGCATTTTGCCTCCTTTAAGGCGAATGATGGACCATCTTCAAATCTTCCAAGTGTAATTTGCTTGGTTTTTCTATGCCCAAAACAACCTGTTGTAAAGGTACTTAATTGTTAAAGGAGGTATTTTGCCTCCTTTAACATGGATACATCGTCGTACTTAGTTGAAAACCAGGAAA